GTTATGTTTTGGAATCTGAACAAGTGTCTACATTACTAAAGGCAGGACAGAAAAATGTGGGATAACTCCTAAACAACCAGTTTGGGTGAAACCAAGAGGTTTTTTGAATCTAATCAGACTTTAATATGCAGCTGCACTGTAACCTGGTGCAATAACGTATACTGTTTATCTATTTGACAAACCAGAAACCAAACTTTACCTGCCACCACTTTACTGTACATAGGATATGTATATATAAGCCACCTTAAATCTCTCCTTTATGCACTGTACTTCATCCACATTTTCCTCCTTTGTGCACCTCCTGTTTGGTTATAAGAGCTGATGTCACAAGTTAATTTCTTCATTTTGAGATCAATAAAGTTATATCCTATTCCATTCCATTCTCTTCTCTTCTATTAAACTACATGCTGCAGCTCCAACAAATCTGACAAACCAATAATAAGAACCGGTTCATGAATAAAAGTGGTGCTCCTTTCATATGAAAAGTCGGCAGTAGGGAGAAGCCTCCAAACTTGTGGCAGTATTAAAACAGTCTGATGTATAAAACGGAGAGTAGACTTTCCTTTATCCATCCCAATCTGCTGGAAAGAGACGCAGCTGGATGAACTGCTTCAATATGTAAAGTAGTATAAATAGACAGGAGGCTCCCATCGGCGTCCCTGTAACCATGACGATGATGCTGCTAGGTTGTCAGGGAGACTTTGTGAAACACACCTAAAGGGGAACCATTACAGCCAAACAGAAAGATATTAAATTACATCAATGACTCACTTAAGAAACCTGCTAGAAATAGTCTTTCCATCAGTTTGGTTTATAAAAAAAATTTAGAATACTTAAATCAATTAATTCTTATCAGTGTAATGTTTAACTAGTTATTAAGATTTAAATAGGACTCCCATGTTTCTATTAGGAATACTGTCACCACATTAACAAGAGAATGAGGCTACACTAAATGTTTAAAACAATTCAGGACGATAGGATGAATATAAACAAATGTATTAACCGATAGAAATATCATCCTAGGTGAATGGAGCCTGTATGCAGTCTGTTCCCTAGTGTTATTGAGTATTGTTGTAATTATGGTTTCTGTCAAGGAAACCCGAGTCGAGCCGGACAGTTTCTATTATAAATATACTTGTCATTGATAAAATAACTTTCAGATTGTGGCTTTTTATATAATTGCAACATTAAAATCAGTTCCTTCAAAAACTGTGATTGGATGTAAGGCTCAAACAATCTGATCAATCAAGAATAATTGATAAAATGATAGAATAAATGGTATAGAGACTCTAAAACCTACCTTTAGCTGACAGTGACCCACACAGAGCAGCAATTATAACATAGAAAAGGAAAATCTGAGATGAGAAAAACTTTTTCGTCCACCAATATGCACTGTCCAAAACTCCTTTCTTTTCTAAAAAAAAAAAAAAAATTTTTCTATCCGATTATTAATAAATAAAAATAATCAGCAGATTAATCACATTTGACTTGTTTGGAATTAAAATAAAGGCATCCTGACCTAATGCGAGTAATGTTGGATGTACTCTAACAAGAGTTGAGGTTTATTTTTCTTCTCTTTCTTAAAAGAACAATCTGAACTTGAATCTTGGCGTATGAAATCTGGACCTAACGGTCTGCTGAGCCAAATCAGTGTCAGCGAACGGAGCAAAGCCGCATATGAAGTCTGACTGGATCACCATTAGCTAGTAATGGCAATCTTGTTGAATGCTGATGAAGACTGAAAATGTGTGTGTGTGTGGGGGGGGGGACGATAAGGTTCTTTGAGTCTTTTGGCTTTTTATTAAGTGCTCTGAAATGCATTTCTGATGGAGACCCATTGATGTGAGAGAAACCATCAACAGACTGACTGCTCTCTCAGCCAAAGTGATTTATATTTCTTTTTTTCTGGAAGATTGATGGCCTGGTGCAGTGTGGGTAATGTAGTAGCAGATAATGACAAAGAGACTAATAGGTTTTGAATGAGGGAAAGAGGTCGGGGTGAAGATGGAGGCAATAATCGAGTTATATCATAAATGTATTTAAACCGATGCTAGGACGAGTTGTAGCCACACAAGTTGTCATCATAGTGACATGTTAACCACGGATCCCATTAGGAAGGTCACAGCATGAGCAGATAGCATGGAGACACTCCAGAATGATGGGTGCTGTTATGGGAAAAGGACGACCAAAGGCAGCGCTCTGGCGAAGGGGATGTTTTGTCTTGTTGGCTCATCATGCTCTCTCCTGTAACCTTTTCCCCCGCTTCACGTCGCTGCTGTTTTTCATTCCTTCCCCACACACATCTGCTCCACTGATAAGGGACATTTGGGCTTCTGCTCGCTCTCAGAACCCTTTGGGACTCAACCTTTTCTGTGCAGTTGGAGGACTCAGCAATGTGAAATCCTGTTATTTCCCATGAAGGTCCAAACTAAACATTTCCTTACAATGCTTACATTTTGTCAGGTTCACAAAGATAGTCAAATTCAGTTAGTATTAACAAAAAAACATATGAGTTGCTGCAAGACTTAATTTCCCGTCGGGTTTAATAAAGTACTTTGAATAGAATTGAATGATTACCATACAGGTTAGATGTATGGTAATTTAATTTAATTTAGTTTCATCTTGTTAGATTTACATATTTTAATTCTCTTTAATTCTTTTATTGTTTTCAGCTTTGGGTGTTTGCAGTGGAAGCATAGTTCTGACATTTTCCAAATAAAATCTGAGAAGTGTGGAGTGAAATGAATTACAGTAAGTTAATACCACCACTTGTGCGTTCTCGTGTACTCGTGAAACGTCATCAACCTCAGCCCTAGTACTGGTCCAATTCACAAGAACAGCAGACCGAGAATAAAGTCCCCAGATGTTGTTTTCGCTCCTCCCCATTTACCCATCATGCATCAGAGCAGACCTGTCCGTTATTGAGATTGACAGCTATCCCAGCATGCACTGCGGCAGCAGCAGCTTTCAATGGAGCGCTCCATTGAAAGTTAAAAGTTCTCTTTTCTGCTGCTGTTGTTCAATAAAAGTATGTTTTTAGATCATTTAAGGCAAGAACATTATACTCTAAAGCATCATGGTCCATTTACAGATTTAATGTGTAATTTAAAAAAAAAAATTCCGAAGTTGGACCGCTGGCTATAATGGCGATTTTTTTTGTTGTTGTTGTTTTATTTGGCACATTTTTTATTTGGCAAATTTTTTATTTGATTTTGTTTTTATCTGAGTGTTCATTATTATTCCCCCACTAAATGAAAAATATAATAATTTATTATGTAGAGACTATTGATAACAGGAGGTGAAATGCAGCTCTAGAAGTGCACGTGGTGTCGTTATCAGTACACTTCTTTTCCAATTGATCCATATTTATGCTGAGTGCTCCCGTTCTCACCAAGTCCAGACTTTTCTGTGTTCTTCTCAAGCACAGTTCTGACATTTTCCAAATAAAATCGGCGAGGACACGATTCCGTACTCGCCTTCTAGTGAATTGAAAAACGGCCCTCAATTCCAGTTTAAAGCTTTTTTCTAACAGATTGTCTTTGAGGAAAGCTCAATATTAACCTCTATTTTCTAATTATCTCTGTCCAGCTTCTCAGTCTCTGCTTCACCCACAGCATGATGCTGCCACCTTTATGTTTAGGAATTGTTTGTTCAGGGTGAAACCAGTTTTCATTTTCAATCGAGAACAAAAAGTGTAATTGTGGTCAAACCTCAAGCTCCTGCTTCTTATCAGAAATGTCCTCTACATGATTTTAGTCGAGCTTTAATCAGTAAACCTTTTTTTTTCCCTTTTTTGCTCCTCTATAAAGGCTAAGTTCATGGAGTCCATATCTAACGGGTTTCCTTTCAACAGATCCTCCCACCTGAGAGGTTGAGCTTTTCAGCTGCCTCAAAGTTGGCATCAGTCACATATAAAAAAAAATATGTGCAAGAATTCTTTGAGTATTTGGAAACTTTTTGTTTGGATTTAAGTAAAGCGTCTTTTAAAAGTTTGATTTTAAACTTGGTAATAATGATTTTTAATCTGCTGGAGATAAAGGAATGGTTTACCTGACTGCTGGTTTTATAACATATATCCAGATCTGTATGATTTTATATCAGTGGCAGAATCGTTGGCCATTAAGTTTGTGAACAGGAAAAATAAAGTTTAACAGTGAAACCATTTCTGATGCTTTCTGTATTAAAACAGATGTCTGAGTGTGTTTTTAATGCCTTTATTTTGGGTTTTGAGGAACCAGTGACATCTTGAATGCTGCTTCTTCTTTTTTTCTTTGAATCAAAGCGTGTGACACAAAACCCCTGAAGCGATTCAAGTTAGATGGATCAACAGATGTCTTATCTGTTTACGAACACCCTCTGTGGCTTCAAATGTTATATTCCAAGTTTTAAATTTTTTATTATTAGATTATTCATAGTTAAAAAGCTGAATTTGTTTGACGAAAAATCATTCTGAGGATTTAAATGGTCAATCCCACAAAACAAATGACAGTTTCATGATGAAAAGGAAGGAAAGATGAACCCATTGCAAGGATTTTTTCAGGTGAACTCTGGCCCAGACATTTAATGCCAATTACACTGTGTGAAAGAACTTAAATGGTTGCCTTAAGCTCAACTGGGAGATTACAGATCGATTGGTCTGGCTTGCTTTTTTAAGGGATTCCCCTTCAGTGAAACATCTGACGCACCCTGTTGATCCGATGTCTGCTCTGTGGATCTTTGGTGTTTTTGGACCAGAAGCTGTTTAACTTTTCAGCCAAAATCCATTGCCTTGCTCCAGATTTCTGCATTAGCTAATCGCAGGCTGCAGCATGCGCTGCACTGTAATTGGAGTTGCCCTTTGTGGTAAATGGATGGAGTACATCTGTTTGTACCCACCGACGTACTTGAAATAAATGATGGCGGTGCAGAAAAGCCACCAGGGAATTGTTGTGGTTTCAGCCCTGATATGTTTTAGGATAACGAAAAACCCTCCTGTCCCCCCCCCCTTTGTCTTTATCCAGGATTTCAAACATTCAGTAGAGCTGATCACCTCTCCATCACTGGATGTTTTCCTACCTGAAGACGAGGACAACCCGTACGAGTCTGTGACTACCGCCGTCACGCGCAAACCCTGCTCCCTGGAAATCAACCACCGACTCAACGTCTGCGCCCGTAATGGTAAGAGGAACGACTTCGTACCCTTTTTAAAAATCTGCTCAGCAGTTTAAAGTACACTAATGAATAGATGGAAAGTTTTTCTTTCAAAAAATGACCTTGTTTTAGGTGGTTTATCCTGTGTGAAAATATTGCCGGATGTTCCATGAATTACATTTTTGAAATTGGGTTTACATTTTTTAACATCCTTAATCATATTAAACCTTGAATGGAATGTTTGGAAAATGTATAATATAAATATAAACATCAAAGATGTATTTATCACATTCAGGCTGAACCACTATTCATTTCTTATTTTCCTTAGTAACATTTAAGGTTATTTGAAAAATCTTAGATGAGTTTTTCCATGACGGCCTAAGGATGAAAAATCTTCCATATGCATCTTCATGCAGATATAAGGGAGCGTTTTGTCACATTTGGAGAAAAAAAAAGTTTTAATGCCAAAACCAAAAGAAATTCTCACAGAATGATGATCATAATAATTTTTTTTTATTTTTGTGGTCTCTGAATATTTAAAAAAGTTTTAATTGAAAATATAAAACTGCTCCATGCTAAGCTGTTTAACCATTTTCTCCCACATTTTATTAGAACTACTGTTAAACCATATGGAATCTATGCTGCGTAATTTTCTAAGTTAAAGTATATGTTCTTCATATTTTAGCACACTTTAATGCCACAAATTGGATGTGCTGCATATCATTTAATAAATTAATTAAATTGCTTTGGCTTTTAAAGTCTTTGATGAACACTTTCACCACTTAGGGCACTATGAAGTGCTTCAAATTCTTGAATTTAGAAAAAGTTTTCAAAGGCCTTTGGTTTCATAATCTTAAAGCTTTTAAAATGAGCAGTTTAGCTTTTGGAACTAGTCAGCATCTGCTGAATGTCCTTCAGCAGATTCTGAACATTTCCTTGGTGTTTTTATCCAAGATAGAAAAAAAAAATGGTAATACTTCTATTTTCCATGCAGTCTATTTTTGTATCACAAAATTATACCTGCTGAGGCTTTATTTTAAAACGTAATTTGGTTTAATTTATGCAGCGAGCTTCCCTAGTTTTCGTCTGAGACTGAACCATCAAATCTTTTTAGAAGAAACATGGACACCAGAATCGAACAATAGATTTTATAGAACTTGATAAAGATATCTAATCTTCAAATGCATAAAAATCCTATTTTTACTCTTTAATATTGGATTTTGCTGATCTACTAAAAAGCTAAATAGCAGTTATTTGTGCTTAAATTGCTTCAATGTAAAACAGAAAAACCTGCTTGGTGTGAGATGAAAAGTATTAAATCTTGTTTTTATACTGCCAGGTTTTATACGATGGGGTAAAATCAACATCTTAAGCAAACATTGTTTTTTAAAGAACAAGTAAATGCTATTTAGTCTAACACGAGGTTCCTTAAAGTTCAATTTAAATTGGAACAGATTTAAAAACTAGTAAATGTGTTGCTCATTGCTTGATTAGTTTTAATTAGTATTAAACAAACTTCCTTGAAAGCAGCTCTGAAAACCAACTTCCTACAATATTTATCTAACATCGTAACTGTGAAAGAAATGCTTCTTGGGTGTTTTAAACTCCGACCTGTAGCAGCTAGTTTTGCTTTAGCATTATCGCCAGCTTGTACATAAAAAGTAGTAATAAACAGTTGTGCTGATTATTTTTCTTATGCCCTACAGAAGCACAACACTTAAAGTTTTTGTCACTTTGCATTTAAAAAGTTTTCGTGCCGCCATTTGTAAAAAAATCTGCTGTGTTCTGCAGTTACCACATGGGGGTGTTGCATCTCCAATAGCTACGCAGACCACACGCTAATGTAAACAAATTGCACTTACAGTAGCGTTTTAAAAAAGATTATTGCATTAAACGAGAAAATTGTAGTTTTCTTATTTGTTTTTCCGGTGGAATTTAACTTTAAACATCGACCTAAGAAGGCTTTTCACAAATATCTTTTAGGCTTTAGAACAAGCATCAGTGTTGGACTTGGTATGAAGTCATCTTCCAGCTTTAACTTCCTCTCTGTTTCCTGTCTGCTCATCATGTACGGTCAGATGAAGTGTAGTTTTTGCACCCACCATGTGTTCTTCCCCTTTTGCTCGTCTCCCATAGCAAAACTACACACTGCGTGTTGTCAGGGCAACTGCATCCCTGGCTGGTGAGTCACCTGGATGTTGCCATGGGAACTGTCTTGGTAGTGACACATCAACCCCCTCTTTCGCTCCCTGAAACGGGGCAGTAGAAGGCTACCGTGGAGAGGAGGATTTTTGGTTCCACATGATTGGCTGCAGGCAGGGAAAAGTTGAGCTGTCGATTTAGAGTCAGCAGCTCATGTGCAAGAAACTGAATGTTGGCTGCTTTCTGTCAGATTAAGAATCTGTTGGTGGAAAATTGCTCGACTGACGTAAGGGCGCTGTGTGGGTGCTGTTTGTTCTTACCTGAGCGAAGGCAGGAGAGAGGAGAGAGAGCTCCCTGCATCTCAGAGCCTGCACACACTTTTTTTGTTTCTTGTAGATGAACAGGGTTAGAGCTGATTACGCATTGAGCTGATGAAGTCTGAGACCAGTCTTAGGCTAATACTTTGACATAAATGCAAACTTGTGACGCAACAGGAGGGAGATTCCTGCTCTGAGCCTCGTCACATGTAAAGCAAACCAGACATGGATGTGATTTGGTCCCTTCTTATGCCCATGAGGAATAATGCGATGACAAAGCTGCATGAACTCAGTGGGTTTGAGATGTTAAGGAAACCGCAGAGATTTAATGCATTACAAAGATAAAAGGGTCAGCTTCCTGAAAGAAACTGATCATTCTTTTCATTTGACCTCTCTTGTTTATGCAAGATAGTAATCTGCCTGAAACAAATTGGTGTATAGTTTCTGTAGGAAAATGATATATATGGTTTTCCATGTTTTCTTATTTTACAAAAAACAAAATGTCCTGTCTATTGTTGTCCACTAAATAAAATACTATTGCATTCAGGATTAACCAGATTTGTAGCTGCAAACCTGCCACAACAGGACCAAAATTAAACTTTTGGCCTATGTGCAAAACACCCTAAGTGTGGAGGTTCACCGTCCAGCTTCATGACCCAAAAGACACAGAGCTGCAAGTGTTAGACCGACTCAATATGAATACTTCTGTAACAAAAGCTGCCTGTTGTTTTTTTCACCAACTTTAGTCTAAAATTCAGTCATTAGAAATTTTTAACATCAGGTTACATGGGGATGATTGCTCTGTCCAGAGAACCCAGTTTGCATTAAAAACAATCACTGAGAAAAACATATAAGATGGAATTTTCTCTGAAAATCCTCATATGAAGGTTTCTGTGCTGCTGGAAGGTTTTTGCAGGCGTTTCTTCAGCTGCCTTGTCAGAGTTCTCCTGACAGCGATTCTCTGAAGCTCTTCTGTGCCTTAACAATCAAAGCAGCTTTATTGTGTTCTCTGTGCTCACTGTCGCTCAGTCCAGCAGCAGAAACACCAGGGACCTGTTTTCACTGCAAATAAAAAAAATCCTGTCTTTCCTGAGCTTCTTGTCACTCTGGAACCAGCTTTACTCTGGATGCTGCAGTATTCATGGGAATGTTGCTTCCCACTGCAGCACATGTCATCCAACTCGACAGTCTGTCATTCCTGACGGGAAAGAAATGGAATTATGTTCTTTGTAATGGAACGTATATTAGGAACAGAGTTTTTCTAGCTTAATCCTCCAACTGCATGGGTCCTAAAGCAGTCATTAAGTATATTAGGCAGGGATTATACTTGCTGCATGGGATGGATTTGTTTCAAACAAGAGGATCTATTTCTGCCGCATTGCCTGCCTGCAGTTGCCGCTAGTCCTAATTAGTCACAATCTCTTCAATTATTTCACATGCACAGAGCAAAATATTTAATATGCAAGGAAGGTTTTTTAGCATTTTTCAAAACACACACAAATCCCTAAACAGGAAGATCACACAGGTTAGCTGAGCTGTGCCTTTATTGCCTCATTCCGATTAAAGTATGTAATAATTTTTACTGTTAGTCTTTATTTAAAGCTGTAAACATTTCTTGCACTAGTTTAGTATTTATACTTAGCTTAGACTAAAAAGCAGCAAAATTTTGAGACCCATGTAGAATGTGATGCCTCTATAGCACTCTGTTTTATATTGTGAGACATACTGTTTCCATAATCTCTTAATTAGGATGAATGAAGCTAATTATGCGTCACTTATGATTATATTAACCTTTTTTTTCCTGATATAGGACTAATATTTAAACATTTAGAATAAAGCTGCACTTAAATACAATAACTGAATAAGTTTAAATTTACTGTGGATTTCTTTAATCCAGAAAGGGTCAAAATTATACATCCAGATTATACCAACCCTTCCCTGCTTAGATTTGTTTTAATGATTTTCTCAAAAGCAGAAATATACCTTTCAATTGATTGTTTTTTTTTATGTGTTAATCTTAGGAATATAGTCTGTCCTGTCCTATTAGACTATCCTTCCACATTCTTTCTAATTACTTTCCAGAGCTAGGAAAGGTCAAATATTCCGGTCGCAGGTGTTTAGTAACTAGAATGTAAACAAATAAAAACTCCCACTCCTGTATACTTTCTCTGGAACTCCTCTGCGTTGGAGGAAACTGTGACGCTGCTGCTTCTCGCCTCATTTATCCCACTTTAGTCGACACTGGCGGCTCAGTCAGGCTAATGGCAGCTTGTAGTAGCTCTGGGCTCTGACATTAAAAATGTTTGGGTCTATTGACTTGTCGGAAGAAAAAGCAATAAAATGTTGTCTTCGCTGACAGCCAGAGGAAATCACTGTGGAGGACTGTTTTTCAATCGGCCACACGTTTACTTTAGATTTCTGTTTTGTTTTTAAATGACTTTCAATCAAGTGTTGACTGTAATTTTTTTTCTTTATGTCTAAATTTATTTTGTCAGTTTGCAGTAATCCAAGTTTGGTTTAAAAAATCAAAGTTTTCAAATCCCTGTAGATTTTTTTTTGTTTTTTTAA